TATCAGCTCAGGTCTTTACAAAGCTGCAGTCTGGGTAATCCTTTGGACAAATGAAGAAAATGGGAGAGAGCGTAATGAAAAAAAAAAGTCGGCACCTTCACCTCGGCCCAGCGGGGGACACAAAGGTAGAAGACCTGAAAAGCCCCGAGCAGAACAAAGGTGCGAGCGTTCGTCTAAAGCCCCCAGAGTTACTTAGTGACAAGAGACTGACATGGAAATAAAGAAAGAGAGGTGGATATAAAAGGCAGAGGAAGAAAAGAAGGACGGAGAGGGTTAAAGAAAAGAGCCCTGAAGAAGTGGTGCTGTTGTGGAGGGTGGGGGGGACGGCTCTGTAATCCTGGAATAGTGCTAGTCAAGCATCCCCATGGAAACAGGCACAAAGGCCTGTGGTTTCCTATTGATGGCTAATTGTATTCTTCACAGCTCTTTTGTTAATTGTTGTCTGCCCAGCTCCTACTTCCTGCTGGGCCACTACACAAAGGCAGGAACAGAGGGGATTAGAAATGGCACATCGGCTTTGCGCTCTCACCCCTGCGCGGCGATGGCTAGTTGTGCGTGCGCGGAGAGGGAAAAGAGGCAGAAAGAGACGTAAAAACACTGCTTTGAGGGTCTCTGATGATTCAGGTCGGCTCTCGGACCCCTGTGCAAATGTCAGATGAGGGGTGACGGTGATGGAGCCTCTCGTTACAGAGAACTTTAATACAATGACGCTGCTGTTGGAAGGTCTTAATTGAGGGTTTGCTCAAAATGTTGAAGTATTGCATGTCAGGGTGCTTTACAGCGTGGATATGGCAAGCTACTATTTTTCTGTCACGGCACATTTCACAGCGTTTTAAGCACACAATATTGACTCTTTTTTTGATTAATGATTTATTCATTATTTAAATGTACATACAACATACATAATTGTAGCATTTAAAGAAGGTTCTGAAACTGCAATTTTTTTGACTAATTATTTAAAATAATTTATTTATTATTTTATAATTTTTATAAATATTTTTCCCATAAAGAAAAATAAATAGATTTTTAAACATGAATTTTATATATATATTAAAAAAGTTAAAATATAAGTTAAAAAAAATCTATTAATTAATTATAAATAAATTAATAATAATTAATTGTACACTATAATGACTATAATATATATATATATATATATATATATATATATATATATTTGTATATTGATTATATATTGTAAATTAGTTATATAATTAAATTATGAAATAATAAATTATTTATACATTATTATTATTATTGTTGTTATTATTATTATCATGATACAAAAATACTAAATAAATAAAATAATAATATTAATATCATTATAATTTTTCTTTGATTTCAAGCATTACACCATACATAATTTGATTAAAACAATCTCTTTTGAAATGCTTTTCAGATTTCTAGATTTATAAATAGTTTTTATTACAATTTTGTGAAGTTGTTTGGTTCACGTAATATTTTCCAACACTAAGTCATAGCAATTCGGAACTTTTTGATTTAGTGGCTAATTCGTATGAATTTGTACGATCTCACTCGAACAGTTTAGTTTGAGCGGTTCATCTTCTGCTCTCTGTTAAGCGTCATCGATTAACAGAGAGCATGTCTGAAGTTGGGGCTGACGTGATCGTCATAGCAGCGTCAACCAATGAAATTAGTCAGCAATTGGCTACTGTCTGAGCTGGTGTATTTGCATACAGCGATCTGATTGGCTGACACTTCCGTCAGCGCTTGAAAAGTTGAGAAAGTCCCAACTTCTGCAGTGAGCAATGCCACTTAAGTGGCGCAGACGGATCCACAACTTAAGCCTGATTTATACTTCTGCGTCAAGTGACCGGCGTAACCCACGGCACATACAACGCGCGTAGCTGTGCATTTATACTTCTGCGAGCTGTCTCTGTTGGTCTGCATTAACACTTCCGAAAGACTAGTTGGCAGTGAGGTGTAAATGTTCCTCTGTGTTAACTTTCTTTGCTGCTTATTTGCTTTTCCTGAACACTTCCGGGATGTACAAGTGGCTCAAACTTGCTCATTTTGAGGCAGCAACCGGCGGACGTGCAGCAACTTTTAACTATGAGGTAAACACAAAACAAAACTTTCCATCCAGAGCTCCTTCACAGGACTCCACACTCGCAAACAATCGCTCGCGCCATTCGCGCGGCTCTCGGTCCCGCCCAGACTCGCCAGCGCTACCAAGCCGACCAATCACAGAGCTTAAGCAACTCACAGCACTTAAAGAGATATGTGGATACTCTTGCAAAAGTGAGCCACCTGAGTCACTGAAAACACTGTTATCATGAGCTGCTCATGTGAAAAACTCACAGTGCAGCGATTCATGTTACATGTATTTAAAGATTTGTTAATCTGACTTGATAATATTGTATTCTCATGCATTAGCATTAATAAAAAAAGTACTCAACCTGAAGGCAAAACTGATTTTGACTGGTGTTGAATTTAAACCTTTGAAGTGTCAGTTTATTTGCCCTAAAGTCTTTACTAAAATTCAATAAGTTTTACGAAAGTCCACAAAACACATTACGAATACATTTTATTTTACATTACTGGACTAAAAAGTATTTTTTAACCTAAATAAAAAAGTGTAAATATACAGGTCATTGTTTTCTTTCATAAACTCTGCAGAAATTTCCTTAATTCTGTGCAATAAAATTACTTTAAAGCTTTAACATGTGAAACAGCAGTTCAAAAGTTTACTTAAAGTGATAGTTCACCCCAAAAATTAAATTTTTTTTGTCTACATTTACTCCCCCTTCAGTTGATCCAAACTTGAGTTTCATTCTTTATAGTATTTATTTTCTGACCATGGATGTCAAATAGTTTTTAGATTTCTTACAAAAATCATACTTTGTGTTCAACATAAAAAAGAAATTCATCTGAGTGCTAGTAAACAGTAATGAAACGTTTATTTTTGTGTAAACTACCCCTTTAAAAATGACTAAAATAAAGATGAAATGCTCTAAACAAAGATTCGTTAACTGTTAATAATATCTAAGTGATAAAACTGCATTTAAAGCTGTAAAACGGCCACAAAAATGTCCTTTTTTGTCTACATTTACTTTCTCCTCACTTGTTCCTGTCTTCATATTATTTATTTTCTGAATATGGATGTCAAATTGTTTTTAAATTTCTTTAAAAATCTTATTTTGTGTTCAACATCAAAAAGAAACTCACCCGGGGGCGAGTAAAAAGTAAATCAATGTTAAATTTTGTGGGAACTGTCCCTTTAGAATCTGGCTAAAATAAAGCAATGCTCTAAAACAAAGCTTCATTAACAGTTAATTATATCTAAATAATAAAACTGGAACTTGAAACAGCAGGTTCAAGTGTTCAACATTAAAAAAAAAACTCATAATCACTTGAGGGCGAATAAATAGTACATAAACATTCATTTTTTGGGTGAACTACCCCTTTAAAAATAACTAAAATGAAGAAGAAATGCTCTAAAACAAAGTTTAATAAGTACAGTTAAATAAATCTAAATGGTAAAACTGCATTTAAAGCTTTAAAACGTGAAACAGCAGTTACAAATTTTACCTAAAGGGATAGTTCACCTCAAAAATGACATTTTTTTGGTCTACATTTACTCTCCCTTCAGTTGATCCAAACTTGAGTTTCTTTCTTCATACTACTTATTTTCCTACTACAGATGTCAAATTGTTTTAAATTTAAAAAAAAATCTTCTTTTGTGTTTAATATAAAAACAAACTCACTTAAATGAGGGTGGGTAAACAGTAAATAAACGTTTATTTTTTGTGAACGACCCTTTTAAAATCTGTCTAAAATGATGAAATGCTCTAAACCAAAGCTTCTTTAACTGTTAATTATATCTAAATGATAAATCTGCATATATAAGATATAATTAACAGGAAATGAAGCTTTGTTTCAGAGCATTGCTTTTTATTTTACGCAGATTTTAAAAGGGTTAATTTAAACTTTAAATTAAAAAGTAATTAATTACATGTAAATAATCAAACTAGAACTTGAAAAAGCCGGTTCAACGTTAAAAAAGAAACTCATAATCACTTGACGGCGAGTAAACAGTAAATAAACATGAATTTTTGTGTGAACTACCCCTTTAAAATCTGACTAAAATTAAGAAATGCATTAAAACAAAGCTTCATTGACTGTTAAAATACATGTGAATGATAAAACTAGATCTTGAAAAAGTCGGTTCAACATTTAAAAAGAAACTTATAATCACTTGAGGGCGAATAAACAGTAAATAAATGTTCAGTTTTTGTGTGAACTACCCCTTTAAAATCTGACTAAAATGCAGAAATGCTCTAAAACAAAGCTTCATTAACTTTTAAATACCTTTAAATGATCAAACTAGATCTTGAAAAAGTCGGTTCAACAGTAAAAAAGAGACTTATAATCACTTGAGGGCGAGTAAACAGTAAATAAAATCCATTTTTGTGCGAACTACCCCTTTAAAATCTGACTAAAATGAAGAAGCTCTCTAAAACAAAGCTTCATTAACTGTTAAATACATCTAAATGATCAAATTGGATCTTGAAAAGCAGGTCTCCATGTTCAACATAAAAAATAAACTCATAATCACTTGAGGGCGAATAAACAGTAAATAAATGTTCAGTTTTTGTGTAAACTACCCCTTTAAAATCTGACTAAAATGAAGAAGCGCTGTAAAACCAAGCTTCATTAACTTTTAAATACGTTTAAATGATCAAACTAGATCTTGAAAAAGTCGGTTCAACATTAAAAAAACTCATAATGACTTGAGGGCGAGTAAACAGTAAATACATAATTTTTTTTGTGTGAACTACCCCTTTAAAATCTGACTAAAATGAAGAAGCGCTCTAAAACAAAGCTTCATTAATAGTTAATTGCATCTAAATGATAGAACTGGATCTTGAAACAGCAGGTCCCCATAAACACAGCATCTCTTGAAGGGTTTCCAGCGTTTTTCCCTCTGCCCAGGGAAACCCGGAGAGAAAGAGCTTTCCCTTTAAGAGGGAGGTGAATGACAGGCGGCAGGAGCGAGAATGTTGGAAACTGAACACCAGAAAGTCATTGTGGACTGAAGGGAGGCTGGATCGCGTTCATCAGCTGTGCGCTCCGGGTCTCGGTCTGCTCCTGCTGTCAGCTTTTCACAGGCAGAGAAGCGTATGTTATTACTCGCTGAGGGAAAACCACATTTTGCATGCGGCGTTATCGGCTCTGCAGGCCCACAGAAGCACGGGAAGACTGGAGGAATAAAGTTTGGGGAGCGCACGGGTCTTTTGGAGTTGGTAAGTAGGGAAACGCCGCTTTGTTTGAAACTTTACGCACGAGTGTTTGGCACCAAGTAAAACTAACAGACGTATATGAGTGGGATGAGGATTTTGATGCTCTGTCATGTACATGTGTCTGCGTTTCATCCATGCGTAGAGTCAAAACAGCCGTTTAGTGAACCTGCGGAGTAAACAAATCTCATTTTGACTCGCATTTCTCTATCAAACGAGCTCGTTCCTTCATCTGAAACTGTTTTTGTGTGTCAAGACCGCGTGTATACGTGCTTGGTGTTTGTTAGGAAATGACAACCTGCTTTCACCTCGTCGCTGCTCATTGAATTATTGTTTTTAAAGTGAGTTGTAAACGTGTTTAATTTCCTCTTAAAGACATTGCAGCCATTCATTATAATTGAGGTAAGTTGGTTTTGTATTCGAACATTCGTCCAGAGACAACATCTCCCTAGTCCAAACAGTGTTTACCATACTAATGTGAATATTCGGTCTGAAATTACACGACTTAAAAACAAAATTGGCACTATTTAATTGACCGTGATCAATGCTGTACGTTGCTAGCCATTGGCTATAATGAATTCCCATATTTACAATTTGCAAAGGATACTTTTCTGAAATTATACCATTAAGGATATAGTCTGAATGTGTGAATATAAAACCAACTTTATTACAGGCTACGTCAGGAGTTTGAGTTTGACGAACTTTTACGAGTAGGCAACATTTGAATAATAGTTTGACTAACAGTTAAATGACTCTCATAATGGGGTGATCTTGTACTTCAACTTAAAGCAAGCAAACAAACAATTAAATGTATTTTCCCCTTGGATTGCTTTGTCAGATTTTTAAATCTCTAAACTTTAAAGGAGAACTTAATGATGTGATGTGTACGCCCTTTACTATGCTCAAAAAGCATGTACAATTTACCACTTAATTTTAGGTGCATTTTAAGTCAACGAAAAGACTATTGTTTCAATCATATTTAAAGAGCTCAAAGCAGGACTTTATACATGTTGAAGTTTAATGACAACAAATAAGATGCACTAACACATATTTAACACTTAAATTGGACATCAATAAGTACCAAATCATAAATAGTTGTTCATTTAATAAGTCATTTGCACTTTTAAGTGAGTAATTTTGTCATTATTTAACAAAATTTTTAAGATATTATATTTTGTTTAGAAATAAAAGTGCATAATTAATTGCACATGTTATTATTAACTATAGTTTTATTGGCATGCTTATTCTACATAAGCTAAACAAATAAAAGTATAACCTATCACTGATATATTAGTAGTTTAAAATGACTGTGTGATTTCAATGGCTCGACTTTGTTTTTATTGCTTCTGAACATTTCTTTTTAAATCTTTTTTTATTATTATTTGGACACCTGCTAACAATTGCTATTCATGCAGCTGACAGGTCTGACAGATTTCCAGTGAGAAGTGAATAGTTGATCTCTCTGTTGAAGAATATCAGCCTTCCGGAATAACCAGAAAGCAGAGCTCCTCGGGGCAGACCGACTGTGGCGCAATCGTTGAATAGGTGTTAAACTTTGATAATGAGCTCCAAGTAGACATTTTACTGCGTGCACATGAGGCTGTCGTGCCGGTGCAGGTAGAAAGTATCCCGCTATGATGAACCTCCAGCACCTGAGTTGTGCCCCTCTATTGTGATGGAGCTTGTTGACGGATCATTAAAGGGGAAGTTGGCGAAGTGTTTGGCTTCACGGTGACTGGCTGCGCACAAAGCTGCATGTCAGTAGGGAGTCTGTGACCTTTTGCTTTTTTCCCCATCTTATGTTTACGCTATGCCTGATTCTCCTTCTTTGCCTCGCTCTATGTTTCACTTCCATTCTTCTACGTCTCTTTGTATGTTTGTGCTCGGTTTGAGAGGTCAGTAAGCCAGCGGTGGTTCTCTCTAGCTGTCAGTGGGTCTATACTTCCGGTTTGTGAGCCCAGTTCAGTTTGCAAGTTGATTGTATGTGGCGGTCAAGGCTGAAATTTGGATTGGAGACATACTGGAAATGCATTGCTTGTTTGAGTCTTGAATCTAATAGTGGACTGATAGGGGTTTTCCAGTGATCAATACTTCAATATACATAGGATTCAGGTAGATTGGGAAGGCATTGGCCTTCAATATAAATAAAATTTATAAAATTTAGATTGGGAAGTATTTTTGTTCAGTTTTGACAACAATATGGAAAAGTGAGGAGAAATGCATGTTTTACACTGTTAAATTGACAAAGCATGTTGGGATTTTCCATTCAACACATTTGGGGGAATAATTATCCAAACTAACACTGTTAGATATTTTAAATTACTCACCTAATCATTAACCGTTGCCCAAGACAAAAATGTCCTTGGGGAGACAAATAAAGATTATTCCTAGTTAATTCCTAGGTTAACTATCAAAAGAATTTTCATTTACTCATCCTTGACTTGTTCCAAACCAATTCAAGTTTTCTCCCCCCTGTTGAACACAAAATAAGATATTTTAAAGAATGTTGGAAACCGGTAACCATTGACTTCCATAGTATTTTTTTTCCCATTTATGAATGTCAGTGGTTGCAGGTTTCCAAAATTCTTCAAAGAGTCTTCTTTTGGTTTCATTTCTGAATGAAATGCCTTTAATTGTGTGAATGGTCAGACATTTGCAATTAGACACTAAATAAAGAGACACATTTATAATATTTACCTGTATCCCACTTTAAAAAAAGAGTCATAGAAATAAGTCATAGATATTTGACTTCCCTAAACACTTAAATCATTTTTACATCATTTTTTTGGAATGTACGTGAGTAAACCCACTAATTTTAAAGTTATTGGTTGACTTTTAAAAAGTGATTAAACCAATTGATTTTAAAACAATTAGTTGACTTTACTTAAGAAAATGAGTAACCCCACTTATTTAAAAGTGATTAGTTGACTTCACTTTAAAAGGTGAGTAAACCCATTGATTTTAAAGTGATTAGCTGACTTTACTTAAAAAGTGAGTAAACCAATTGATTTTATTATAATTAGTTGACTATATTTAAGTGAGTAAACACACAGATTTTAAAGCGATTAGTTGACTTTACTTAAGTGAGTAAACCCACAAGTTTTAAAACGATTAGTTGACTTAAGAGCATGAGTAAACTAACAGATAAAAAAGCGATTAGTTGACTTTACCTAAGAAAGTGAGTAAACCTATTGATTTTAAAGTCATTTAGTTGACTTCACTTTAAAAAGTGAGTAAACCATTTGATTTAAAAGCGATATAGTTGAGTTTAAAATCTGTTGGTTTACTCTCTTAAGTAAAGCGATTAGTTGACTTTGCCTAAGAAAGTAATTAAACCCGTTGCCTTTATAGTGATTAGTTGACTTGCGTGAGTAAACCCACTGTTATTTAATGTAATAGTTAACTTTAAAAAATGAGTAAACCAAGTTGTTTTAAAGCGATTAGATAAGTTTAAAATCTGTTGTTTTTCACGCTTAAGCGATTAGTTAACTTTACCTAAGAAAGGGAGTAAACCCGTTACCTTTATAGTGATTAGTTGACTTTACTTGCGTGAGTAAACCCACTGTTTTCTAATGTGATAGTTAACTTTAAAAAGTGAATAAACCAATTTATTTTAAAGTGATTAGTTGACTTTACGTTAAACATTAAGTAAAATCCCTGATTTTAAAAGCGATTAGTTGACTTTAACATCTGTTGGTTTACTCACTTAAGTAAAGCGATTAGTTGACTTTAACATCTGTTGGTTTACTCACTTAAGTAAAGCGATTAGTTGACTTTACATTACAAGAGTAAACCAATTGCTTTTAAATTGGTTGTTGAGTATAAAGCCACATTTTTAAAGCTGTTAGTTGACTTTACTTAAAGTAAAACCACAGAATTTAAAGCGATTTGTTGACTTTAAAAAGTGAGTAAACTCATTGCTTTTAAAATGATTAGTTGACTTGACTTAATTTTAAGAAAATGGGTTTACTCGCTTATTTTAAGTAAATGAACTGTGCATTATTATAAAATGAAGTCAACTTAAGAGTTCCAAGTTATCACAGGTGTGTTTACTTTAAGTGAAGTAACTAAGCACTTTTTTTGAGCTGAACTGTCAAGTGTAAAATACAGAAAAGCTCCAACCGTGCTGAGAACAGCTCCTGACTGAAACCTTTGCAAACGCTGACGAGCGGACAACCTCGTGACATGATTTCCCATCGGGGAGAGAGTTTAGCTAGGACAGGCGAGCGAACAAAAGTCTATTCTTTGTGTTGTTCAAACTTTGACCTCTTCTGCTCGGGTCTGCATTGTTTCATGTGTCCTATTGAGCCGGGGTTTGATGAGAGAGAGACAACAATGGCTTGTTAAGTGAGTTTTTCAGGGCTCGCCACAGCATCAATGAAATCAAACAGAGCAGGCCAGAGAAGCGCGCGCTGATAAATGCGTTCGATCACTGCGGCTGTCCATCAAATCATCTTCACGCTTTGAGTGAGCCTCGCAGTCAAAGAGCTCAGTGTTTCAGAGCCTACATCATGTTAGATAATTGCAAGTCAAAAAAAAAGTTGGGTCACACTGTATTTTAAGGTACAATTCTTGCTATTGATGAAATATGAACTGACTTTTAGCCTCATAAGCGTCTAATTTGCTCATTATTAATAGTTATTGAGGTGGTAATTGTGTTTACGTATTAGTTTTAAGGATTGTAGACTAATATAATGTACTTTAGACTACACATTATTTTGCTGCTTGTTCAAGCGACTGATTTAAAATAAGTTGAAATACTTTTATTACATTGTTTTTGGGACAACCTAATTATTATTACTGAGTTGAATCCACTTATGTTAACATGAACGATTTGTGTTGGAACAACATGAAGGAATTGTGTGGAACCCAGTCATTTTTACAGTGTTAATTACAGTTTTTAATAATAGACATTTAATAAGCCACTAGTTAATAGTGAGATCTTGTCTGTCTACTAAAGTGTTGCCAAAAGTTGTATCGATAACGATCATGCTCATCTAAAGTCG